TGCCTAAACTTAGAAAAGCTCAGAACCTCTGATGCATGATTGTGAATCAGTAATGCAGAGTTGTTTATCTCTTTAATTACTTCTACCTGATTAGAGTTTAGAGCTGCTGCTCCCTGAAGTGGATGGAATGGTCAGGAGTTTATTCTGAATTTATAGAAAAGAGAAGACGGGGCCTCATGGAACTAACAGAAAGGAGAGCCTCTATCCTGTTTATACTTTCCAGTGACTTTTTTTTTTTTTTTTTTAAACTGGGTTAGAAAAAAACCATCTCAGATTATACTGGGAACAAAAACTTTGGCTTTTAACCATAATTAGCATTTTTTAAAATCTTAGTTCGATATATCACAGAAGACATAACTAATAGACTCATGATTTCTGACTGAAAGCTAAAGGTAGTTTTCTTGACAGTGCAAAAATGTACTGTCTAATGCTACTCTTGGATTGGAATTGGAACAGTTCTTGCTAGTTCAGAAAGTATGCCTTGAAAATTAATATGATTTTTAAATTCTAAAAAAAGAAAGAAAAAACTGACAGGGCATCGGCTTATCCGTCGTCAAACGCTGAACTATGAAGCAACCAGTTTAAAGAGACATGCTGATGTGAGGTGCCGAGAAGCATTCTTGGGGAGTGCTGTGGCGAGGGCTTAGTCACTGCTATCTACAGGAGATAAATATCGGCAAGTTTTTTATTCCTCCTGACCAGACTAAGTAAACTCCAGAATAGACCTATGGCTTCCTAAGAAGTGTGGGAAATTCTATTTTTGTTAAGAGGAAGGTATTGTTTCCTAGGGCTTGTTGTTGCTGCTAGTTTCGCCATGGCCCTACAGAATAAGCCTCCTGCGTGTCTAATGAGTGGATTCATGACTAAACGAACTATAGAATTAATTATTTGCCCTTTAGCTTCCATGGACCCCGTTCCTCTCATGTCAACTATTCTAATGTGTTTTCTGTTTCGTAGAGCAGTGATTTTTAACCATATTTTCTTCCCAGCGGCTTCCTACTATTTCCCTACTTTTTTTTTTTCTCTGAAAGGGATAGAAGGAAAGCTCTACTTATTCCCACAAGGAATATTATTAGTAAATTATTAAACAAATGAAACTCATCTCTTTTTGTTGGCCTCTTTATTCCAGTAATGGCTTTCCTTGGCGTGAGCTAATTTTGACATGAGTTTACTTGAAATTGAATGGTCGCCAATAAGTTTCAGGCATTCAAATTTTCTGTAATTCTTAATGACAATTGCCTTACCAAAAGAAGTTTAGATGATGTTTTTAAAAGGACAGAAAAACTCCTTTGTCATACCTCTTTAGTTCATTGTAAAGATAAAAGACCACTAGTTAATGATCAGAAATAAAATAAAAATAAAGATTTTAATGTTATTAAGTACCATGGACAAAGACCAGACTTAAGCTAGAAGGAAGACCATCCGAGACCAGAAGGTAGTAACAGAGAAGGCATACTTGTTACTGTTGCCTGTTACTAGAGAAGGAATACATATTGCTTGATTGATTTAAGTCCAAAGGGGAATATGGAAAATGGGGAGTGAAGGAAACCCCTCGTTCATGGATAACTTTTCAGTTCACAGATAACCTTGAGAACTTTCCAACATTCTGATAGCAGTACAAGGCACAAGAGTGAACGCCCTTGTTTTTCCAGGTCTCGTGAACAAATCCATAATTATCTACTCTCCCCGGAAAGATTTTGGGATTAATCTCTTGAGAATCATCTTATGGTGGTATTTTAATAGTATATTCTAAGACTTTAAAACTTGTTTAAAAAACTTAAATAAATGAAAATTTGTGCCATATTGCAGTTTGCATTGTGCCATGTCAAGTAATACCGGGCACATTGTAGACTCGATGGGGAAGCAGAGCTGACCAAAGTGTTAGCGAAATCCTGGAGGGGAACTCCAGTCAAGATCCTAATTTACCGCTGAATTATCTGCAATAAACCAGAGTCCTTTGGCATGAAAAAAAAATCATCCTAGACTTTGAAAATTAATCTTACTAATGACAAATAATTATATGGGGTTGATAACCGATTTAAAAATAGGATGCATATAAAGGCATTAAGAAGGTGTGTTTTTCTTATTTAACCACAATATCGGAGCTTTCACATTTAAAGCATTTTAGGAACTAGAAGGGAGGTGCCGCCGGCCACTAGCTTTTCAAAGCAGCACTCATTCCTTAATTACTAAGGGAAGTTGTTTTGATTTGGCTTCGGAGAACAGAACTGTGCAGTCAGTGGCTTTGGTTATGGTGTTTATAATGCACGTGGTCAGACAGCCATGGCAGTGGGGCATTGTAGCCTTCAAGGAGTCATCAAAGGAATCTACTGTTTCCCAGTATTTTATTTTAGAAAAATTTTCCAAAGAATTTTTTTGTTTCTAGAATAATTGCATTGTATTTGGCAGAGAATCAATGTGTTTAAGAAGATTTATTCATACAGAAGGACCTTCTTTTTACAGTTGGAGATACACAAATAGTCCTGTTACATTTCTGCAGTAGTTTGCTGTGAATATTTTAGAAGGCTCTGGAACAATTGCTGTCTCTTCCACTTTAGAAGATACTTGAGTAATGTCTTCAGATGATCCGAGTCTTAATTTATTGTTAAGTTAAAAAATGGGGCTAGCACTGGTTGAAAGTTCTCTGGACACCCAGTAAACAAAACAGAATCTTTAAAATGGAGAGGTGTAGGTATCTGTTGCTCAACAAGATGAATACATGAAGTATTATTAGAAGGGAAATAAATCTCTGTTCAAAAGGACTTGTCATTGTTGTTTCAATTTTTCTTCCAATTAGGTATCCGTTAACTTCTCAGTGTTCATACTGGTAACAGATGTAGTATTTAACCCCGACTTTTGTTTCCTCTTTCTTCCAGAAGCCTCCCCAGCTTTCTGAGGATGATATTCGGCTAAAATACGAGAGAGACGATTGTAGTGCCAAGAACACCCTGGATCCTGCAATCAGCTCTCTTCCCCCAGATCACCAAAACATGGAAATTGAGGTCTCTGTTGCAGAATGTAAGAGTGTTCCTGGAATCACCTCTACTCCACATTCCATGGACCACCCCTCCCCTTTTTACTCGCCCCCCCACAATGGCCTCCTCGCCGATCACCACGAATCTCTGGATAATGATGTGGCCAGAGAGATTCGATATCTAGACGAGGTATTGGAGGCCAACTGCTGTGATTCTGCCGTGGACGGAGCTTACAACGGCACATCCTCCCCGGAGCCTGGAGCAGCTATCCTGGTGGGCAACTTAAGCCCGCCTGCCCACACAGCCGTCCAGCTGGAACCCACTGAGAGAGCAGCGGGCAGGCAGGTGCCTCCTCACATTGAGCTCAGTAAAAGCAACTCTGACACCATGGCAGAGGGTGAAAGAGTGAATGGCCACTCCCCTGACCAGCCCAGAGATCTGCTGGGGGACAGCCTGCAGGCACCTGTGAGCCCCAGCTCCTCCACCAGCTCGTGGTGTTCGTCCCGAGATGGGGAATTCACGCTCACCACTCTGAAGAAGGAAGCCAAGTTCGAGCTGCGTGCCTTCCACGAGGACAAGAAGCCCTCCAAGCTCTTTGAAGATGATGAGAATGCAAAAGAACAGTACTGTGTCCGGAAGGTGAGGCCTTCGGAAGAGATGCTGGAGCTGGAAAAGGAGAGGAGGGAACTCATTCGGAGCCAGGCCGTGAAAAAGAATCCTGGCATTGCGGCAAAATGGTGGAATCCTCCCCAGGAAAAATCCATCGAGGAACAGCTGGATGAGGAACATCTGGAGTCACACAAAAAGTACAAGGAGCGCAAGGAGAGAAGGGCACAGCAGGAGCAGTTGCTGATGCAGCAGCAGCAGCAGCAGCGGCGGGGGCAGCAGCCCCCACCGCAGCTCTGCACAGCCCCTGCATCCTCTCGGGAACCTTCCAGCATGACTGAACACGCAAAGGAGGACATCGTCACAGAGCAGATAGATTTCTCTGCTGCCCGCAAACAGTTCCAGCTGATGGAGAATTCCAGGCAAACAGCGGCCAAGGGCCAGAGTACCCCCCGGCTGTTCTCTATCAAGCCCTTCTACAGGCCTCTGGGGTCAATCAGCTCAGACAAGCCACTGACCGTCTCGAGACCAGCTTCCGTCGGAGGACATCTAGAAGACAGTGGCTCATCGGTAGCCAAGGGGCAGAAAGCCCACTGTGCCCTGGAGAGCCAGTGTCCCGGAGCAGGCCAGGGCAGTGCAGCTCCACAGGGGAGGGAGGGGCCTTACAGCGAGCCCTCCAAACGCGGGCCCTTATCCAAACTGTGGGCGGAGGATGGAGAGTTTACGAGTGCCCGGGCCGTTCTCACCGTGGTCAAGGATGACGACCCTGGGATTTTGGATCAGTTTTCAAGGTCAGTCAATGTCTCTTTGACCCAAGAGGAGCTTGACTCCGGTCTGGATGAATTGTCGGTGAGGTCCCAGGACACCACTGTCCTGGAGACTCTGTCCAATGATTTCAGCATGGATAACATCAGTGACAGCGGGGCCTCCAATGAGACAGCCAATGCCCTCCAGGAAAATTCACTGGCTGATTTTTCCCTGCCTCAGACTCCCCAAACCGACAACCCCTCAGAAGGCCGAGGAGAAGGCGTCTCCAAGTCATTTAGTGATCACGGTTTCTATTCCCCTTCGTCCACACTGGGACACTCTCCGTTGGTTGATGACCCCTTGGAATATCAGGCTGGTCTTTTGGTGCAGAATGCCATTCAACAAGCCATAGCTGAGCAAGTGGATAGAGCTGCGTCTGACACCAGCAAGGGTGGAGCAGAAGAGCAGAGGCCAGAAGCAACACTACAGGAAGCTGGAACTGGAGCCCCCAGCTCAGAGAAGCCTCAGAGCATGTTTGAGCCACCTCAAGTATCCTCTCCTGTTCAAGAGAAAAGGGATGTAATACCAAAGATCCTGCCTGCTGAAGGCAGGGCGCTCAGGGAACAGGGGCCCTCCCCGCCACTGCCCGCAGTGCAGCCCAGTGGCCCAATAAACATGGAGGAGACCAGACCGGAAGGGAGCTATTTCAGCAAGTACTCAGAGGCAGCGGAGCTGAGAAGCACAGCCTCACTCCTGGCCACTCAAGAATCAGATGTGATGGTTGGGCCCTTCAAGCTGAGGTCAAGGAAGCAGCGGACTTTGTCCATGATCGAAGAAGAGATCCGAGCAGCCCAGGAAAGGGAAGAGGAGCTCAAGAGGCAGAGACAAGTCTTGCAGAGTACCCAGAGTTCCAGGGCAAAGAACGCCTCATCGCTGCCCTCCCGAACACTGTGCTTCAAAACCGCCCCAGGTAAGTGAAGTGCCACCGGCCAGAGACAGATGCTATCAGTTCATTTTAGCTTACAGATTTCTATGCAGAGCCTCCTGTGCGTATGGCTGGAATAAGCATCCAGGGGACACTCCGTGAGGATTTCCATCTTTGGGGACATGCGACGGGAGTGTCATGGAGTGTCCTCTGGAAGAACCCTGAGCCTGGATGGTGTTTGCCATTTCCCAGAGGATGCAATAGCTCCTTTCTCGTTGTTCTGCTCTTGGTGCAGCACAGAGAATTGTCCTCTGTTATTTGAAGGGGCTGCCTCTTGGCTGAGGGGAGGGGCTGTGTGGGGCACAGACCCAATCAGAGTGGGCCCATATGTGGACTGTGTTGGAGTCAGCAGCTTGACCCTTAATATCTGCAGTTAAATCAAACCTGTCTGATATGGGGGATGTGCTCAACTAACCCTTCTGAATTCTGTGTCCCTTCCCAACAACGATAGTCATGGTGTTGCAGATTGACCCGCAGAAGATGCTTTTGTCCCTCTTCTCTATGAATGGGTTTGTATTCAGTCACCACAAAGCCATTACTCTGGAATCCGAGGTGGTATCACCCATTCCTGTCCTAATGATGCATTCAGAGAAGTTGAGCTACAGTAAGAAAAGGCAGGTCTTTAATCTTCTCTCATTGCCTGGGCAGTTCTTTTCTTGAATACTTTGTTCAGATGGCTGATGTTAATTATAGTGGTAATTAGTATTGCTACCATTGTGGATAATAGCGTGACTAGTAGTTATTTCCCATTTGGGTCTGATGGTGATTGGAGACCCACATGTCCTACCATAGAGAGATGCTGCTCAGAGTGTGGTCCAAGCTAGTCCATGAACCTGTTTTTCACTGACCATGCTGAGGTAAGTACAGACAGTGAGAGTCAGCTTTTGAAAATTCTTGTGGCAATTTGATATTTTCCTCAAATCTAAGTGGGGAATTCTGTATTTTAAAAAATATCGGTCCACCATGGATTGGGGGGGGAAACTGTTCCTTCACCAGAGATAATTTAAAAGTATTACTCATAATTGTTGGTATTTAAGTTGGTCCCTGCAGATCTTAATCCCATCTTGATACTTGGCTTCCACCAAATCTACAGTGATGCAAGGTAACACTTTTTGTTCCTAATTTTTAAATTTTTAAACAATCTCGACCTAAAGAAATTTCCCAAATATAGTATAAATATCGGTTTTTTTAAAATTTTTTTATTCTGACCCATTTGAGTAAATTGCCAACGTGATGTTCCATCAAACTCAGTTTTATAGAATGTCTCTCAATTTGGATTTGTCTGGTGATTTCACACGATTAGATTTAAGTTTTGCATCTTTCAGTAGGAATACTACAGAAATGATACCATATATATATATACATATATATCTTATCACTGCATCCCATCAGATAGTAGTACATGGTGTTAATTTGTCCCATTACAGGGGACATATGTTAACTTTTTTCATGAGATTTTGATCACTTTATTGAGGGAGTGTCTGCCAAGCTTCTGCTCAGTAAAGCTACCATTTCCTCTTGTAATTAATAAATATTTTGTGGGGATGTACTTTGGTACTATGTAATCTTTAGCCTACTCCTCATCAAAGTTTAAATCTATTCATTGATCTATTTTTGTCACTATGGTCTCAAGGATTCCTGTTATATTCAATGAGTTATAATCCATTTTTATTATTATTTTTATCCTTAATTTGTTCAGATATAGCTCATGGGAAGTCCTTTAAAGCTAATTTTAGTGTCTTTTTAACACGTTCCTGTTATTCTTTGGGCCTGTTCTCATTTTTTGGCACCACGAGTTGTTCCAGTCTCATCTTATATTTTTCTAATCCTGAAATAAGCCATTTCTCCAAAGAGCACTGGTTCCTTTTATTGGAGAATGGTGTTTAGAAACCAAGATCTGATTGTTTGGTGTGTTCACTGCTATTGTATTGTCACTGCCCTAGACACTCTCAATGGACAGAGTTAGAGAATATATACATTTCCTTCCTTCCCTTCCTTCCTTCCTTCCTTCCTGCCTTGCAGAGCAATCAACCTCTTTCACCTATGTGCATGTCACACTTTTATAAATATAAGAACAAGAAAGGACCTATCTTGAAAACCATGAGCTCACTCTGATATCTTTAATTCTAATCGAATACCACAGTGTTTATTTTCTCTCTTTCATATTCAAACCTCCTTCTTGACAAGAAACCTGATTCTTGTTATCTTCAATATATTTATTATTTGACCAGTCCCCTCCCTTTTTATGTAACCAGTCTCCTGTTTTCCTGCAACACCCTGTGCTGGGTCACTACTCTCCCCACCCACTCTGCTCTGGCTGCAGGTACCACTCCGGGCCACTGTGGCTCCTCCCGCCCCACCCCTACTGCACACATCACCTTGTTCAACCCCACCTAATCGCTTTTGGACTGAATTGTTCAGGAAGGAAAGAGGAGAGAAGAGGAAGGAGAAAAGCATGGCGACTTTCTTGATTATGTTTTCTAATTCCTTCAGGTCATAGGGCAATGGCCAGCTGAGTGTTTGAGGCAAAGAAAACTTCAAGGGGGGTCTTGTTGTCCGTGCTTAACAGACATTGGTTGGCTTTTCTGAAAGATCCTTAGTTGTCAAGTTCACTTTAAATTCTTGTTGTGGGCTGGCTTGGCACAGAGATGTCAGTTGGGCATTCTATATGGTATCCTTGAAAAAGTTTCATAGCACTTGACTTCAGCCCAATCTAGGAAACCTACTTCACAAGGAAGTGACCCTAAAAGACCTACAGTCAGAAAGAGCAATGTTCTTGAGGCGTTTAGCTCCCGCTCACATGGAAAGCAGGTACCATGGCTCTCCTGTCAGGTACATCTGGCTCCACCCACCTCGCTCCCTTTACATTATTTCATTATAGGACCTTTTCTAAAGCTCATGTGCTCAGTGATTATTTTCAGTTTTCCTCACGTCACCTCTTAATCGAACTTCTTACTATATTGGGGACTCCCCGCCTCACTTTCCTTCTAGCACATGGACAAAAATAAAGACAAAATTTCAACACTTTGCCCCTAGCTCCCTGCACTGCTGTGGTCTGTCAGGCTTCCCCACCGGCCTTAAAGTAAGACTGGATCCTAATGGTAGCTCTCAGCATCCCAGTAGCCCAGTCTCGATTTTCTTAGCCCTTCCCTCTACACTAATGCTAGCTTTCTCTCACACATCCCATCCCTCTAGGATTGATTTCGGCCCCTTTCAGAAGGTAGTAATTCATCCATTCAGGTCTGTGCACTGCTCCTGTCTGGTCGTTAACACTGAACACAGTCATGATAATGACGCGTGCGCACCTCATTCCTTCATGTTTATCTCTAGAATATTTAGTAGGTGACAGGGCTTCCCAGCATTACAACGTGGATTGAAAGAAACTGAATGTAAGACATAATTTTCTCAATGTCCATGCCTGGAAACGTTTAGAGGATTGGTTGGCCAGCCCACATCCAAGTTCGTGATCGGGGAAGAGGCTGACACATCATTCTGAGCGGCCAAACTGGATGATTCATGGCCAGGGTCAGACCTGCTGGCTCCGACATTAGTTTTGTGAATGGAGAAGTGGCTAGGTTCCTACTACACTTCTCCATGTTTCATGCCAGTAGAGGTGTTTCAGCTGGTTTGTTGGGTGATTCAGATTGACAGCTTGATATTAGGTGATGAAAAATATAATTATTTAACTTCTCCTCTGGTGAAAATCATTCTGGAATCCTAAAACTTTGAGGCAAGCAAAATCCACTGAGAGCCAAGAATAATAGGAGAGATCTGTTCTCTCCAGCCACGCCTCGAGTATCCAAAAGATGTTTGTTTTTGCTTTAGGTTTTCCTGACTCTCAAAGATGGAGAATGATAAGGTTTCTATTTTTTAAAAAGATATGGTTATTTTCAAGGACCAGTTATTCAGCAAAATTATCCAGAAATTTTATTTCTGTGAATTTTAAAGGAAGAAGTTCCATGTAAATAGGGTTTATGTGACGTTTGTTCTTACCGAGGTGAACAAGGCAGAACTTACAGTTCAGTAAGAGAAACAACATCAGACAAAGATGGCGGTTTCATGATGGAGAAGCGTGGAGACGTGTGGAAGCACAGAACGAGGAAGGCCTCCTTACTAGGGGATAAAGCCTTCCTTTCTCAGGAAACTAGCACCTAGGCTTTGAACTGAAGGAAAGGTTGGGTTCAAGGGGTGGAGGAGATTGTTCCAGTCAGAAGGAAGCGCACCTATTGAGACCCAAAAGGAATAGAGAATGTGACACATTTGAGGTGTTTACATAAGGTCCGGATGGATTAAAGGAAGAGATTTAAAACAAAACAAAGTTGATGGGAGCCAGCCAACGAAGAGCTACGTAGATCATGTTATAGGTTTTAGATTTTAGACTTTATCCTGTGGTCAGTGGGGAGCCAGCGAGGATTCTCGAGGGGGTAATTGTCTCCACACTTTTCCAAGCCGCCCCGCCTTCATCCATGAATTGATGGACTATACAGCTTCCTTCTTTAATGAGTTCATTCCACCAGCATCTGTTGAACCCTTCCTCTGTACAAGCACTTCTGGAAGCCTGCCGCCACCTTGACGGATGACTTGAGAGTTATGTGAGAGGTCATACTCCCAAGAATGAGCACGTGTGCACCTTCTGTTGACTTAGACACGGAGAATAAAGGCAGCGTTTTGGCAGGTGTACAAGCTTGATATGAAAGTGTAACCCACACACTGCTGTACAACACCCTTGAGGAGTTTGGGAGGAAAACTCAAACATTTTATTGAAGTAACAATTCAGGCCTTTTCAAATGTCTTTTCATATGAAGGGTGTCAACAGACAATTCTTAACCTTATTTTAGTGCCTGTTGTCTATTATTAGATATCCTGGTTTCACTTCCGAGTTCTAGGCACGACAGAGAAACTGTTAGGTGATTTGTTTAGTTATTTGAAATAGTTTCTGTTTTCATGCCAGGTGTTGAAGTCATCTACCAAGCCAGATAATTTGC